AATAGGAACAATCTTAAATTAAGCTACAGCTGTATGCCCAACGTGCACAATATCATCATGGCGCACAACAGAACTGTACTCGATCGCAAGCAGCCCGAGGCTACTAAAAATCCCGATAGGGAGTGTAATTGCCGTCAGGAAGAATCCTGCCCCCTCCCTGGCAAATGTTTAACCGAAAGCGTTGTATACCAAGCCACAGTAACGAGAAAAGACAACCAACAGAAAGAAACCTACGTTGGACACACAGCGGGCCCATTTAAAGTGAGATACTACAACCATACAAGCTCGTTCAGGAACCCGGATCATAAACATTCAACTGAACTGAGTAAATATATTTGGCAGTTGAAACAGTCCAACATAGAATACTCTATTCGTTGGAAAATTTTAAAGAAATGTAAGGCCTACTCAAACAAAACAAAACGTTGTAAATTATGCCTGCACGAAAAGTTCGTTATAACTTACTATCCCGAACTAAGCTCATTGAACTCAAGAAACGAACTAATATCGGCATGTAGGCACAGGAAAAAATTCCTGCTCTGTAGCCAGTAGTCAGATTACAAACATATATTTACGCTTTCCTAATGACGTCAAACATTTGTATATATCAGCTCAAGTTACCTATAGGTTATAACATCATGTAAATACGCGATATCACCATTCACCTGATGAGTGTGGCAAGCCTAGCTTGCCATACGAAACAAATTTGTTGTGAATAAATGTTTTAAACGAAGTAACTCAAGCTTGTCTTTTATATATATACATATATATAGACTATATATATATAGACATAAATATACATATACATAGATATATATATATATATATATATATATATATATATATATATATATATATATATATATAATATATATATATATATATATATATATATATATATATATATATATATATATATATATATATATATATATATATATATATATATATAAAATAAGTGAAACGACTCAACAAATTCCACTAGCCATCTTTATTACTATTAGCTTCGTACCACAAGATGTGGCACTCATCAGATAAATTAGCCTTATGGCTACAGCAAAAAACCTACAGTATTTATGTACAAGTGGCTGAAAGCTTTAAATTAATCCTATTTACAAAGCACGCAAAGCAATTATTTTGTTACTTTGCGTGCTTTGTAAATAGGATTAATTTAAAGCTTTCAGCCACTTGTACATAAATACTGTAGGTTTTTTGCTGTAGTCATAAGGCTAATTTATCTGATGAGTGCCACATCTTGTGGTACGAAACTAATAGTAATAAAGATGCCTAGTGGAATTTGTTGAGTCGTTGCACTTATTTAATTATGCTCTGGATATCCATTGAGCACTCTGCCAAATGTTTTTGTAAACAACGAAACGTAATTATATATATATATATATATATATATATATATATATATATATATATATATATATATATATATTTACTATAATGAATAAATAAATAAATAGTGAAAGCACCTGCTTTTTTATTGTTAATAAAAATGTTCAATCTCGCTCCGAAAGCAGAACCTCATGCATGCATGCTTTCCCATATTCTACACAATTTCGACATTTTCGCTAAAATGAATACAGAGTGGATAATATGAAATGAATAACTCGATCGATCTTAACTGGGAAACGCCCTCACTCAGACTTAGCCACAGTAGTTGTAATTTCTTTCCAAATGCTTGGACTTTAAAACTGTAAAGTTATGAAACATCGTTATACGCTTTTTAGTGTTATTTCAAACATCATGCATAGACCATGCACATTTGCCGACTAACTCGGCATATTTGAACAGCATATATTGAGCCCAAATCACCGAGCCTGAGGTGACTAATTGTTTTAGTACTTTCAGAATTAAAAATAAAGTTTTATTTACAAATACAATAAAAAACTCATAATAATTCATGAGGGAAATACAAAAGAAATTAATGTTTAATCAATGTTTTTAAATCGGATAAAGATTTGTCCTGATTTACATAAACTGAAATCCAGCTTTGATTTTCTCGGCTTTATTTATTTTAAAATAAGTTCTATTGCTATGATCTAATTACAGGTATTGCTAAGCGTAATCGTAAGTATATAAATGTTGACTAGTGTATAAACTATACTTTAACTAACTAAAAAACAATATACAGCTATTTACATGTATAATATATCAAATATGAAGGATATAGCTATGACAGAACAAATATCAAAATTTATAAAAGAGTAGGGCTGTTGTCTCTGATATCAAAACATTTCGAAATATGTTCCGAAAATAGATCTGTCATCACAGGATCATTCAATGACGTAAGATCACTTAATAATTTTCTCTTTTAATTCATCAGTGATGCTCATTTGGAAATAGTCTTTTAGAATGCTATTCGAGTTATTTCGAAAATTCTCGTATTTTCCACATTCAAATGAAAAATGAAATTCATATAAGCTGCAAGCTTATCGCAGTATTAACACAGTCTCTCCTGTCGAGGTACATCGCTATAACGACCGAACTCGATCAATTTCTAGTTTATGATTACTTATACGAAATTTTGAGAACAGTCTTCTTTGGTTAGGGTCATTAATGATATTTTGATATTCATCAAATTAAAAACTCTAGTAAATTGTCATTTTATTCTACATTTAAAAAACACTATAGTGTTTTTTAAATGTAGAATAAAATGACAATTTACTAGAGTTTTTAATTTGATGATTCCAAAATGAAGTGTATAGTTATCTTTAATGGTTTTTACAAAGTCGTGTATGTTTGTATCCTGGACAAATTTTTCAATATCTATTGTATCTTGGATATTAGGATGAAACTTTTTAATAATGCTTGCAGCGTTAGAATAGAATGAATCTTTACCGCACGGTGAGCACAAAAGACAGCTAATTCGGCCACGTACAAATAACTTTCTGTCGTTAGTTTGGAATATCACGAAACTTGCTCACAGGATAGAACTTGCAATTCCTAAAAATCCTATCGTTTTTGTTTTTCGATTTTGTTACATTTTGGCGGGAAAATGACGTGCTAACTTTGGCGCCAAAAAATTAAACACGAGCTAAGAACATGCTAGTAACTTTTTTGAAGAGATTGTCCTATAAGGATCACAAAACTGTAGAAACATTGAAAATACAACAAGGCAGTGCGAAGATATGGCGATTCAAAATTCGAAAAAATCTATTTTTAGTAACAAAATGGCGGATTTTTCAGAATTTAAGCACCATATCTTTGTACTGCTTTGGCGTATTTTCAATGTTTTCACAGTTCTGAGATCCTTATAGGACAATCTCTTCAAAAACGTTCCTAGCATTTTCTTAGCTCGTGTTTAATTTTTTGGCGCCAAAGTTGGCACGTCATTTTCCCGCTAAAATGTAACAAAACGATAGGATTTTTAGGAATGGCAAGTTCTATCCTGTGAGGAAGTTTCGTGATATTCCAAACTAACGACAGAAAGTTATTTGTACGTTGCCGAATTTGCTGTCTTTTGTGCCAACCGTGCCGTTTGAGTAAAGTCTTTTTGATAGGTAAAAAGTTTGTTTCGCTATATTTGTATCTGGTAATTGACTAAGGTGGCTAATGTAAGAAAATAATCTTTTGAATATGGGGATTAATAGAGGCAATTTACCTAATTCAACCCTACTAGAGATATTGCTTGCTTTCCTGTTCACACCTAAATAGAGTTTGCAAAATTTCAGATGTGTTTTCTCAGTACTAGTTTTGTCCCATTTAGTATAAAATCGCTGTTACCATAGGCTGCCCAAACATCCGAATTATAAAGCAAGATTGGAGAGACTATAGCCCCGTTTACACTACACTCAATTTTTGGTACGGCACGGATAAAATTGGTACCCGTACCACTTTTTTGGTTCTTGGACTACCTATTTAGCTAAGCCCCGTTTACACTACGTTCAATTTTTGGTACCGTACCACTTCTTGGTTCTTGGACCACCTAAATAGGTAGTCCAAGAACCAAAAAAGTGGCACGGGTACCAATTTTATCCGTGCCGTACCAAAAATTGAACGTAGTGTAAACGGGGCTTATGTCATCAAAGATTTTTATGTCAAGTTTTGGTGTAAGTTTCTGAAAATCAAGATTTTTCCGTATTTTAAATAAGGCATGCATAGCCTTTTCACTCAGTCGAGTGTTTGTAGTTTAGAGTTATGTTTTTGTAGAATCATACTTTGGTTTTTCTGAAATGAATATTCATTAGCCATTTTTTGCTCCATTCATTGAGGGAGTCTAAACAATTTTCGAGAGCAGATTTTGATCTTGATAGTATGACAAGATCATCCACATTTTGTAGACTACTTAGTCTCGTTCCATTTGGTAAAGGAAATGGGTATGGGTTTACTTTTTCAAATAGATTAGGAAGTTCGTTTATATATAGATTAAAGAGAAGGGGACTTAAAACACCACCTTGCCGTACACCTCGATTGTAAGAGAAGAAGGGTGTTCTATGACCCAATACTTTGCACACCGAGTATTAGAGTATAGATCCTTTATCAGATCATAGAAGCATCCTCCAATTCCGTTTTCTAATAATTTTAAATAAAGTTCCTCGTGCCAGACAGAATCAAAGGCCTTTTTAAAATCAATAAAGCATGCGTAAATGATTGATTATCGTATTTATCATGCAACGTTTTTAAGGTAAGAATATGATCGGCTTAGACAACGTCTATTTTTAAAATTACTTCGCCAATGAACTCATAAGATGGGTCCCTTTTTAAACACGTTAAAACACTCGCATCCGATCTTTTATATCTGATTTTCAAACTCTCGCTTTTGGCTCGAGTTTGTCGCATATTTTAACTAGTACCTATATATACACAAGTTTATTTTATGAATATAATTTGCACAAATAAAACATGATTTTCAGCCATTTATTTTGAAAAATCAATATATGTTGAGTATATAAAGGATAATTCAGGGCATTTTTTAACTATATAACTGGGGGGGCCAAAGCCCCCCAGCCCCCATGGTGGCCCCCCCACTCAACCATTTTGGCCCCCCCCCAGTCAAAGTCCCTTTTCTCTAAAATATAAGCAAAACATGAAATTTAGAAGGGAGGTTTGATATTCTAGTAACTGAAATTTGCTTTGTGAATCTTATGTCCTGTCTTTTATGTTTAATAAATACCTTATTAGATTTTAAACATTTCCCAGGCAGTGGATTGCATTTCCCAGACCCTATAGATTTGAGTTGTTGGACAAGTTAGTGACCGCAGGGGACAACAGGCCCTCAACCAAGTGTTTTATAAGGGGGGGGGGATAATTTTGGCCCCCCCACCAAAAAAAAAACAATTTGATTTCGAAACTAGAAGTATTTGAAATCATATATACATATAATCAAATATCTGTAATCGATATTTTGATAACATTTCTCGTAATAATCCATCCTGACTCGTGGATATCATAGACTCACAAATCATAATGAACGAATTAATGAAAGGGCCTAACAAAAGACGTATAGAAGACTTTGAAAATGCCATTTCCGACGATTTAGAGACGCAAAATTTTCAAAATTTTTCCGCTCTGTGCCAACCATGGTGGCGTTTCGTGGGAGTCGGGAACTCTAAGTTTATCAAGCTGGCTCCCTAAGTGATGGCCAAGTTGTGGTATCTACATAAACATACTATGCAAGTACTTAACTGAAGGTTCAGTCTATATCTACAGCATAATGTAATGCTGTATATCCAAAAATCTGTTTTAGAAAATGCAGGGAATTGCAGTCATAGGGGTAGAAAAATACAAACATTTTCTGGGAGAGAAAACCCCAGACCTCTCCAGGGCCGTAGCAACCGCGGGGGGGGGGGGGGGGAGGGCTGGGGGGCTGCAGCCCCCCAATAATTTGCTAATAATCATTCATTTTTCAAAATCATGCAGACCTTTATCATTTAATCCATGACAAACTTCAAAGAATGAAGATATTACCCATACTTTCCTGCAACTTATCCAAAATATCGTTAATTAAATACACTTTCGCCCATTTAGTACTACTGAACTCTAAATTTCCACATACTAAAAACGCTGTTTTTTGACAATCAGAAATCTGTCAAATCTTCCCCAAAGTCCAGGAAATGGCATTTCAGAGACTCTAAATTTAAAAATTTCCTCGGGCCTTCGGCCCTCGCTTTCAGCGCCCCCAAACGAAAGAAGCTTCCTATGGCGCTGATCTCCCCCCCCCCACACTACTATTAAATGCGATACCACACCAAACGTTTTGTTACCAACAAACCATCTATCATTGCTCCACACTCTGTATAGTATGGTCCCTTTTTGTAGATGGCCCCCCCACTGACGAATTCTTAAAAAATGCCCTGTAGTAACTGCTGGCTGGTAATCACTAATTTTTTTAAGCATATGTTTAGTGCCAATTAATTGAAATTCAGTTTTCGCTACGTTTAAGCTCAGTTTATTTGCCATAAGCCACTTTCGAAGTCTTTCTAAATCTGAATTTACTGCAGATTCAATATCATTCTTGCAATTTCCGGATGCTGTAATATTTGTGTCGTCTGCAAACATCCGGGGTCTAGTTTCATTTAGACAAGATGGTAGATCGTTAATATATAGCAGAAAGAATAATGGTCCTAATATGGAGCCTTGGGGTACGCCACATTTTACAATATTTTCTTTAGAAGTAGAGCCGTTTATTTCACATTTTTGGTTACGATTGGATAAATATGATTTTAGGAGTTGAAATGCACTGCCCGTAATTCCAAATAGTAATAGCTTTTCCAATAGGATGTCGTGGTGTCGAATGCTTTTTTTAAGTCTATGAATACAACCAAATTAAACAATTTTCGATCCATGTTTAAATACCAATCATTTGTACAGTCAAGTAAGGCTGACGCAGTCGAGTGAAACTTTTGGAAACCAAACTGATGTTCTGAGAGGAGGTTGTTTAGCGACAAATACTCATATAGTTGGTTATATAAAATATATACGTTCCATAACTTTGCTTATGGCAGGCAAGACAGAGATTAGACGATAATTTCCAGCCAAATTACGCTTGCCATTCTTAAAAAGGGGGATTATTCTTGCAACTTTCCATTCATTTGGAAATGTACATAGAATAATTGATTGGTTAAAAATATAGGTTAATGAATCGGAAATAATTGGGGCTGCTATTTTGACAACCTGGCTAGAAATTTTATCCAAGCCAGTAGCTTTGTTGCCAGCTAGTTGAGATAACAAAAAACAAACATGGTTTGTAGTAACTGGTTTGAATGCAGTAAATTCAGATTCAGCTTTCTTAAGGTAGTCCTTAAAATGACATTCAGTTGTATCAATTTCAGCTGCTAAGTTAGGTCCAATATTTGCAAAGTAATCATTGAAACCTTTTGCTATGTCTTCAGGGCTTGTTAGTTTTACATTATTTATATTTAATTCATTTACTTTAGTAGGTCTATTTTGCTTACCAATTAAACTATTAATTGTCTTCCAAGCAGCTTTTGGATTTTGGCTCTCAGAAGAAATTTTATTGTTGTAATACTCTTTTTTAGCCAGTCTTAACTGAGTATTTGTTTCATTCCTGGCTCTTTTATAGTTTTCCCAATCGGACTCAAGTTTCGTTACGATTGCTCTTCTTTTCAATTTTTGTTTAATATGATTAGTAATCCAAGGTAGTTTTTTAGATTTTATCTTTTTACCTTGAAGAGGGGCATGTTTATCTAGAACCTGTAAAAATAGCTCTTTCCAAATTTGCCACATACTGTTGGGATTGTCTGCAAAAAAGTAGACGTTCTCCCATGACTGGATTTTAAGATCATGCAAGAAGTTATTTTCATTGAAGTTTTTCATATTCCTAATTTCAATAATATTTTCTTTATCTTTATGGTTTATATTGATCTTCCTAATGGCATAAATGAGACTGTGGTCACTGATTCCAGTATGAATCACACCACATTTAGAAATTTTTTCAGGTTCATTTGTAATAAAGTGATCAATAAGTGTAGATGATGTCTCAGTAATTCGTGTTGCTTCATCAATTAATTGAGTTAATTGATAAATTTCGAAAAGAGACCTTAATTTATTTGTTGGGTGATTGGGATTGGGCTTAAGTAGGACACAGTTAAGATCACCTAGGATAAGGATTTCTTTATTTTCATTATCAATAGTTTGCAATAAATTTTCAAAACTGGTAAAAAGATAATCTGATGCATCAGGTGGTCTATAAACTGAGACAACCACAAATGGTCGGCTATATGGCTTGGATATTTCAAGGCATATAGCTTCTAGATCTGGTGGTATTCGGTCATGTGACTCATGTCTAGTTTGATAATTTATGGAGTTTATTTAGTTTTTTTATTTAGATCATCTCTATGCAAATACTCTTATCAGTCTTATGAAATCATAATAAAAGTTTGGTCGATTAGCCAACTAAAAGTTTGGCGTTAACTTAAAAAATAGATTGTCATCCACACAAATAACAAACCCTATTTTAGTATTAATTTCAAACGACTAATGTTAATCCCGCAAAGTGCCAAAGTCAACTGAGGAGGAACCCTTCGATATATTTCGTTTCACATGCATGTCATGCATTCAAACATGTAATTACCAATCAATCTTTTGCATGTCGTACTTAGAACTTTTGTTTACTCTTAAAGTTTTAATATATACAAATCTTATAGGAAATATAATTATGTTGCAGCTGTCTAATTTGTATTTAAGTACTATTTAAAACACGAGAAGGAATGTTTTATCATATTTAAAACGCGAAGCGCAGCCGAGCGTTTTAGATATGATAAAACGCGAGTTCGAGTGTTTTGAATAGCTTAAAATACGACTGCAAAAGAATACTAATTAGGATGAACAATTATATAATCATACTAATTAGGATGAAGAATTACAGGCATTAAAATACGGAATTTTTACAAGGACACACTCATTCTCGTACCCAGAGCCCTTCTTACGCGCGGTGCGACGAAGGGCTCTGGCCAAATCCATAACCGGATACCATAAAAACATGGTAAGAAAACAATGTCCGGTGTTAGAACTAGCCAATCAGATGCCAGTTCGGAATATGGATTTGGCCAGAGCCCCTCGTCGCACCACGCGTAAGAATGGCTCTGGGTACGAGAATGGGACACACTTTGCCTTCAGAGGCGTATTTTCGGTATAAATGTGTATAACGAGTGGGGAAGGCGCGAGTTGAGCGTCGAAGACGCGAGCTTTTAAGGGGTCTCTGAAATGGCATTTCCAGCGTTCTGAGAACAGAATTTGGAAAATGTTTGGCCATTTTGCGCGGGTTTACAGAAATTCTTGCGCGGATTTTCAAAACAAATCCATTTTGCTCGGATTTCCACAATTGGAAGAATTTTAGCGCGGGAAATTAATTCCCTGCAAAGCTACTACTTTACAGTCTGGGTGGAACGCAGATTTGAGCGGCTTTCGTTAACCCTGGTTTTCACTAGCCGTAAACTTAAGCGTAAGCATCACTGATTTGCTGGCGCAAGCCTAAACGCAAGCATAAAACAGAAGTTTAACAATATTAAAATCTTCCTTTCCCTTATGCATACACCTTACGCTTATGCTTGCGTTGCAATGAAAACCAGGCTTTATAGTTGTCATAAAAACAGAAGAACTACAAAAACCTTAATATAGCTCAAATACTGTTTTATTCATCGTTTATACTTTATAGATAGATAGATAGATAGATAGCCGATAGATAGATAGATAGATATATAGATAGATAGATAGATAGATAGATCCCAGCTTCCATCAATGCATCTTCGTAATGTAAGTTCGGATATGCAATTCGAAGAACCCGTTTTTGTCTCGTTCAATTTCATCACTTAAGTATTTAGGTAAAGAGTAGTGGAAAACAGTGGAAGCGTATTCCAGAATGAGGCGAATACATACGGTATAGAATTGTAAAACATCTTGAATCGCGACTTTTGCTCGTTTCAGCTGCACTAAAAGGTAAATCCTTTAGGAACTTTTTGTCACTATGTTATTGACATGACTATTCCACTTCAAGTTGTTCGCGATGGTAAGATCACCCAGTCAAATTGTTATAACTCTTAAAACAATCAAATTGTTATAACTCTTAAAACAATCAAATTGTTATAACTCTTAAAACAAATAATGGTAAAATAACTAAAGAAATATGAAACTTTGTTTTCGGCGTAATCGTGAGCCTTAAAGTCTTAAAAAGAGCATAGCCTGCATGCAAAGCACGGTCCGACTGTCCCTATCCTTTCTTAATTCTTATGTCAATTGCCAACCAAAAGACGGTTTCAAGTGATGTCCTCCTTGTCTGCTTTCCTCCGACAACTCTGACATGTCGATCTCATCGTTACCAATGCTGTTTTCAAAAAAGACACCATTGAACCACTTTTGTGTCTTTTGTACTTAGACGATGCACTTGGTTTTCTCTTTTTATCTGCTAACCAGTATCGAACAGCAGGTCTGGCATCATAACTCGCAAGCGGTGGAAAATTGAATCCAATTAAAATGTAGTGGTGAAGGGTATCCGTGTTAAGTCTGCCTTCTCGCTGGTGACTTCAGAATATTGTATCTTGATATCAGTCTCTCCACATCAGCCGAGTAAGGTTTGGCTGCAATTACTCTTGCCAAGGCAATTGCTAAAGTCTTCATTTCTTCCATACCAACAATTTGCTTCAAAATGCTTCTAGGACATTCATCCTGAATTGATGGAGTTGCTACTGCTTCTCGGTAGCTTTGGAAAAACTCAAATAGGTCACAGTCAGGGATAATGACCTTGTGACATGCTCTAAGTTCATCATCGCTGACATCAACCTTCATCTGGGCAAGAGGCGCTAGATCTTTCCACTCATCAGTTTGAAGCCTTTCTGATAGAAAGTTTTCTAAAGACAGAAGAATCTCGTTTCTGACAGCTTCGATTGTCCGTGAGTCAGTAACATACAAATGATGCTGCCTTCGCCTTCTTGTGTTCACGATTTAATAGGCAACTATGTAGCGTACAGTGATTTTGAAATTAACGGAAAGGTATATCAGGCCACATTTCTGCCACCTTGTTGCAAATGATCACCGATAGACAGCGACGCTGTTTGAAATTTTACTCCAGAAAATTAGTAACACTGACAGCAAATTATGCACGTGGAACAGGTTACATCATTTTTAGTTGAGTCAAGACGTAATTAATCCTTGTCAGAACCGTTTGGAATATTTTAATTTATAGAATTATAGAGCAGAGTTGTTTGGTGGCATTCGTACTGTGATTACGGTTAAATAAGTGAGAAGTTATTAACTTAATTAATTAAATAAGAAGAAATTTATCTTGCATGTATGTATTATACAATTGAGAAAAGTCTTATGTTGATGTCGATTTATTGTACGAACTCGATGTGAAAATCTCATTCAAGCGTTTGTAAATTTGATTCCAAGAAGAATAGATTTAGTTTGGATTTTAACTGTGAAATACATAAATTACAAAGCACTAAAGCAGGCTCATTGCAATACCGGAAGTCAGTACTCGGGCTCAGCGAATTCCGGAATTTTGTTCAGCCAGACATAAAACTCTGGATTACTACTATTGTAAATCCAAGCATTTTATACTTAAAACAATTAAGTATAGGCCTACCAGATTTATTAAGCAATCGTGAGATTATATACATGGAAAGAATATGGAAATTATGTTAAAAGCACCCCGTATAAGACGAAAGCACCGCGTATAATGGAGAACGCACCGCGTATAATGGCGAAAGCACCACGTATAATGCTCGAACCACTGCGTATAATAGCGAAACCACCGCGTATAACACTCGAACCACTGCGTATCGACAAAATGCCGTTTGATCACTTACGCTATAATATAATACTTCAACGTTGACTTTATTCCGGAGGTTATGGTGTCATGTTTTGAAGCACTGTTTGCATGAAGCCACATCCCCACACCGTAGAATCTAAATAGTTAATCTGTTTAAATCATGGTCAACGTTTCCCCAAGATTACTTCAGTATTAGTAATGGGCATTCCAAAATAAATCCCCCTCCCCCCCCCCCCTATGGACGAGCTCAGTAAAATTTGAACCCCAAGAAAAAAGATCAAAGTACCGACGCACACACACCCTTAGAAATTGGTAAATTTTTGCCTTACCCCTCAGAAAAAACGCTAAGTGATAAGATCAAAGGATTCCAATGGCCATAACCCCTCAAAAATGGCTTTTTGACCCCCCCCATCAGAAATTATCGTCCATAGGGTGTGGACATTAACCAATGGAATGGCCCAATCCGAGAATACGTGTTAGGGGTAGGGGCTAAGAAACAAAAAATCAACCATCATTATATTTGAAAATGCATTAAACCACATAAGTCGCAGATTTTTGGTTGGTCATGCATGTTGGCCTAGCAGATGATGCATGTGAATCACTACATGGCTCATGGCAAACATGAATGAGTCCCAGTTTCAATGTTTGGACTACTGCTAAATTTTTCCAACTCTCAACCTGCTTTTAGTTCGGTTCAGGTCCAACGTTATCTCTTAGGAAATTCCAAAATCCAAAGCTTCTACATAAAATCGGCTTTTCCGCGTGTATTTCCATGTCTATAGAGTAGCAAATTTCATGGATTTTGTAGTATTCCATCCACTTTTCGTCCAAATTTAACCAAAATTTGATCAATTTGTCCTTGGGCAATGTCCATTAATCCCACAAATTTTTGTATTAATATGTTTGATTGTTTTCAAGTTATTGTGCTGACACACAGACAGACACGCACACATACAAAAAACCTACTCCGGGCCCTTTAGGCGACTTAATTAAGAAAATTTGAGGAAAAATGAGTTGCGATTCAAGGTGAATTGCGACTTTGCGGGGCAATTTAAGGTGACTTAATAGTATGAATTGATACTAGGCTAATGTGGGGATTTTACATATATGGATACTTTTCTGCCTTAATATGCCCAGAAAACATAGCGCGGCTTTAGACGACTTAGGGTAACTTTAGGCGACTTAGGGAGTAACTTAAGCTACGTTTACACGCTGCGATTTGTCGGGCCGATTTTGGTAAATAATCGATGCCCCTTCTTCGACATTTAGCGATTTAAACGTTCAATTGAAGCTGTCCGCTCTCTCGTCTGTTCATGTTATAGTTTTCTGCGTGCGAAAAGTTTTCAACAACTTTACAACGGAAGAAAAATCGTTGAATCGTGAGAAAAATCTGTGGTTTTGTTACAGATTTTTCTCCCGATTTTGTGAATCGCAAGGTGCTGACGCGAGTACTCACGACAGGTTATTTACATACAGCGAGCAAAATCGGCCCGACAAATCGCAGCGTGTAAACGTACCTTAAGGCGACTTAAAGTGATTTTTGGTCCCGGACTAGGTGAATAAACAAACGCCGGTGAATACATACTTTCTGGCGGAGGTAATAGTGCTCAAGGTTCAGATTTGACGACTTCCACTACCGCTACCATTAAGGGACCGTTGACCAATCAGATGGGTTTGATACAGCGCCGTATTAAGAAGCTCTTTTTGATTGGGGAGGGGGGGGGGCTGAAACCGAGGACCGAAGGCTCTAGGAAATTTTTAAATTTAGAGTCTCTGAAATGGACTTTGGGGAAGATTTGACAGAATTCTGTCGGTCAGAAAACAGCGTTTTAGTATGTCGAAATTTACAATTTAGCGTTTTAGTAAGTCGAAATTTACAATTGAGGGTCCTGAAGGGGGGGGTCCCAATCCCATTTCCCACCTGAAATTTTGGCAAAATCCCAGTCCCAGTTGGATTTTTATTAGAAATCCCAGTCCCAGTTATTGAAATCCCAGTCAATAAAAAATTCTTTATTTATCGGTAGAATAAACAGTTTTAAGACCTTTTAGGCAAGTGGCGGACACTTTATGAAATATTAGGTTGGGGGGTCGTGCTGAAGGCACGAAAAATTTTTAAATTTGAATCCCGGAAATGGCATTTGCAGCATTTCTGAGACACGCATAATCAGAAAACCCAGAATTCCGGGCGCCAGAGTATGCCTGTTCGCAGGTAGTGCTGTGAATAATATAGTTAACAACAAAAATCGTGACCAAAGACACCAAAAAGGGATCAAAATTGTATTTTAAAATACTCAAAACGCAGAAAAAGTGGGAATCGACTCGCATTACCTCAATCCCATTCCCATTTTTGAGGACTTCATTGGCCTAATCCTAGCCTGAGAACAGGCTCTCAAGCTGAATTGAGAGCCTGCATCGATGACTAATGAATTTGAATATCTGCCCCGTAACGTTCGTTTTTCCAAATATGGAATGTCTATCCTTATATGGTGTTGTTTCAACTTTCGTGCAAACTAAATTTAGACCGTGCAAACTAAATTTAGACCGTACAGTTTATACTGTTTTTCGAAATATAAGATATTCAAGCAAAAGTTCCAATGTTTTAAATACTGTTTTCTCAAAACAAGACATTTCGTGCTTTGAGATAAGATGGCCAAGACCAATTTGGTCAGTTAATGTGTTTTTATGCATAGTTTCAGCAGTTGACATATATAGAGCTCAGCGGAAACATATAAATTATAGCATCTGACCAATGAGAATTTCGCGTCACGATTTGAGACGCAGATATTCAAATTCATTAGTCATCGATGCAGGCTCTCAATTCAGCTTGAGAGCCTGTTCGCAGGCTAGCCAAATCCCAGTCCCAGCAACCCAAATTCCCAGTCTAAAAATAGATCAATCCCAGTTCCCATTTTACTCCTTCAAGGCCCTCACAATTTGCTTACAAATGGACCGAGATTAAATTTGAAGAAAACCGATAATACCAAGTATGTTTATATAGACTTCACTGCTAATTCCAACAAAGCATTCGTTTCTATACGTGTAAATTAGCCTGCGAACAGGCTCTCAAGTAGACTTTCCAAAGTCCTTTCCAGATCCCTCTATGGCGCGCTTCACTTCCTCTGTGGAAAGGACTTTTGTCACTTGCAGCGCGCCAAATATCACCGGTGGAAAAATCCACCGGTGACGTCATTGTTTACATTGAAGGCCGAAGCGGTTTAAATTTATTGATCATTATCGAAGGAGTCTAAAAATAACATTATATTCGAAGGCTTTTTTGTTGAACAAACATTTATTATTGAAGCAAACAGAGTAGACCATTTAAATACAATTTTGTAGAACACAAAAACCATGTGAATAATAGACAAACGGCAAACATTACATTGACTATGAGTACATGCAGATACATAAATTACTATTCTTGTCGACACAATTACGGCACACATTGTTAGACAAAACAACTGTTTAGATTCAATAAGTTTTTACATGCACTTGTTTTTGTTGCATGCCATATATGGCATGCAACTTTCATATAGCTCTAAATTTCGTGTCGTGTTCGGTGAGCGGTGGTCGGTGAGCGTACCAGTCACGTGGCAGATTCGTAAAATACGACAAATACCGAGTTTCCGACGAGCATTTTCATGCCGGGTTTTCGTCGAGGAAACGCAAAGAAAATTTATATATTGATGATTATTCGCCGAAAATTTACATAATCGAGCGCCTTAGAAAAATAAATCGAGGTAGGTAAAACTTTACTGTTTTTATAACTTACCTTAAATTTTGTTATTTGTTGTGATTTTGGAGCCGTTGTGCTCGCACTGATTATTTGTCAACTATCACGCGTTTATATTTATATATCGTGAAAGCCGCGAACGCTATCAAAATACCCGATTTTTATATATACTCAAACTGAAATGGAGCCATTGTGCTCGCACTGATTATATTGTGTGCAAAGCTTCAAAACTACAGCATATTTTGTAAACAACATGAAATATAAATATCAAACACAATTTAAATATTTATAAATATAGTAATACAATAATCGAAAGCCGCGAACGCTACAAAAATACTCGATTTTTATATACTCAAACTGAAACGGAGCCATTGTGCTCGCCCTGATAATATTGTGTGCAAAGCTTCAAAACTACAGCACATTTTGTAAACAACATGAAATATAAATATCAAATACAATTTAAATTATAAATAGTAATACAATTGAAATCGAGATTGAAACTACAACGAAATAGCAACCATTGTGAAGTACGCATAAGATTCAACATGACATTCGATATAGTGCAAATTAACTCATTTCAATCACTCAAACGTCAAAATGATAAATAGTAATACTATAATCATTTTCAATCTATTGTAGTAATTCACCGTTTCCACATTTTTTTATACCCATTAAAGAGTTACAATAAAGCTATATCTATAGGAAATAACGTTATTTAGTTATTAACTTGTAAAGTAAATCTAACAGTCAATCGCTTTTGATAAAACTTTGACCCGCCTTGACATTGTTAAAGGGGCCCTACAGTCTTTTTTTAGTCAAGTAAGTATTGTCTTCCGGTGTGCGGAAGTACTCATATTCATGGATACTGCATGTAAGATACAGCCAAACGAATCTCCGTGGAGTCCCCTACTTAAGGTGGCTTTTCGACTAAAAAATGACTGTAGGGTACTATGGCGTTCCGTTACGGACAATATTATGAAAGTTGTAGATATAATACCAAAGCCAATATTAAAATGTCAAAACTCGCAATGCAAATATGAAACGTCCCAAATAAAATATCAAATCGTCAATGTTATAGCAAAATCAGAGACTATTTATATCAAAACACATGCAACAAATATATAAACACACACATGTCATATTAAAAGCCGTAATCAAAATATCAAATTCCACAATAATAATTTCAAAACTATCACATGAATAATAAACATCAAAGTTACGAAAAAAATAACAAATCCTACAATACAAATATCAAACCGTCATATATTATATCAAAGCATGTCAATAAAATGTCAATTTAGCCGTGAAGACGCACACAAAATATATCAAATTTTCACGCACACAAAATATATCAAATTTTCAACGCACACAAAAAATATCAAATTTTCACGCACACAAAATATATATCAAATTTTCAACGCACACAAAAATGTAAAATCTATGTAAAATCTAGTTGAGAACTTGAAACCTTTTTCTCTTTTGCTTTTTTCTCTTTCTTTCTACCGCTATAAGGTGTGAATCGCCCATTTCTCGATCGAGGGGTAATAGTTTCTTGAGATTCATTTGTACTACTTGTCCTTGGGAGACGAAAAGCGTCGTTGACTTCTTGTCCAGGTGTCCTTGAACTTGGATTGCGGCTTACAGTCTCCATGTTTTGAAGAGTTGCTGCATTTGTTGTACTTGAATCAAGACTATTTATTGAACTCACAACTCTTCGTACTATTTCAGCTATATTTGTAGTATCTCTTCGCGCCATATTGTCGATTGTGCGGTGTAAATTATTGAGATTTGGGTAAAAGTCAAAAAGTGTCACATGTCATTCCATAAATAGTATGGTCATTTCTGCTTCTGCCCCATTACTTCCGCATTCATATAACCGGATCTTCTTCTTACTTCCGTTTCCGGCATTTCGTTAAGGTGTGCGTATAAAAATTTGATATATTTTGTGTGCGTGAAAATTTGATATTTTTTGTGTGCGTGAAAATTTGATATTTTTTGTGTGCGTTGAAAATTTGATATATTTTGTGTGCGTGAAAATTTGATATATTTTGTGTGCGTCTTCACGGCTAAATTGACATTTTATTGACATGCTTTGATATAATATATGACGGTTTGATATTTGTATTGTAGGATTTGTTATTTTTTTCGTAACTTTGATGTTTATTATTCATGTGATAGTTTTGAAATTATTGTTGTGGAATTTGATATTTTGATTACGGCTTTTAATATGACATGTGTGTGTTTATATATTTGTTGCATGTGTTTTGATATAAATAGTCTCTGATTTTGCTATAACATTGACGATTTGATATTTTATTTGGGACGTTTCATATTTGTATTGCGAGTTTTGACATTTTAATATTGGCTTTGATATTATATCTACAACTTTCATAATATTGTCCGTAACGGAACGCCATAGGGTCCCTTGACTCCCTTTAATGTTATTATTACCGTCGCTTGGAACTAACTATTAACGGTCGCTTAAAAAACATTGTCTATATTTGCGTGTTTCTGCTGGGGTCTACACCGTAGGCAAATTCGTGTGAGAGCCTTACGTTTTCTTATTTTGACATAAATATATTGATATTAAATTTATTGAATCGATATTTTAAGTTTCACGCCAGTTGTACCAAAGGTTATAAGCGCTATAGCGCATCATAAGCATATATATCTTATATAAGATATCTATGATCATAAGTTTCAAATGGCATGCAACATGTACGCAGTGCGTACCTATTTTTTTTATACATTAACAGCTTTTGGAGCTTACTTGGGTCAGTTATTTCGTTTCCACACTCGGTGCAAACTGTTTCATTCGAGGACAAAGAAATATCAATTCTTGAGAATGTTTTTGCAGACCCATTGACGGCGCGCGGTGAAGCAATTGTATGAAATGTACACACCCTTTTATGTCAAAATTATTCGCGCCAAAATTTTTAATGCGATTTAAATTCCTGCAAGCGACACAAGTCGACCACTCGCGACTTCGTCGCTCGGGTCGCGCGCTCCCTTCCCCGCGCCCTCCCTCTCCCATGGTCGACTTGTGGCAAGTCTAGCTCTCAAGCTGAATTGAGAGCCTGCATCGATGACTAATGAATTTGAATATCTGCCCCGTAACGTTCGTTTTTCCAAATATGGAATGTCTATCCTTATATGGTGTTGTTTACAACTTTCGTGCAAACTAAATTTAGACCGCGCAAACTAAATTTAGACCGTACAGTTTATACTGTTTTTCGAAATATAAGATATTCAAGCAAAAGTTCAAATGTTTTAAATACTGTTTTCTCAAAACAGAACATTTCGTACTTTGAGATAAGACGGCCAAGACCAATTTCATCAGTTAATGTGTTTTTTTATGCATAGTGCTTCAGCAGTTGACATATATAGAGCTCAGCGGAAACATATAAATTATAGCATCTGACCAATGAGAATTTCGCGTCACGATTTGAGACGCAGATATTCAAATTCATCAGTCATCGATGCAGGCTCTCAATTCAGCTTGAGAGCCTGTTCGCAGGCTACGTGTAAATAGAATGTTAGTACATATTTCGTGTACAGCTACATAAAGTACTTACACTCCAAAGAAAGATGGCAGGCTCATGTACGAAATTGGCGGGAAAATGCGTTTCTCGAAAATTCGAAATCGAGAAATCGACGTTATCATATCGACCAAACAACAGTTTCGTCCTGGAAGGTAGAAGAACAAGGAAAGAGACTCAGTTCTGGCAAGTATGTGTTAACCTATAAACGATAAGTAATGATTAGTTTGCATTATACAATAGGCAATAGCTGAGTATTATATCAACGATGGCGACATACATACCATAATTTTGATACTATAGCTGTTGATAGACCAGTATAATAAATAATGACGCAAAATTTTTGTAGTTCGCTACAGCTACTTGCCTACTTCGTAAAAATGCAGTCAGCTAGAAATACTGCTACTTGACAAAAAACGTAGTTCGCTACTGACTACAGCTGCTTTTTAAAAAAATGTAGCATTCGCTACTTGAACGCAACAGCCGATAACCTGCTATGATGCTTATCTACATAATATACAATTTATACGTTGTCATATGTTATTCTGATTTTATTTGAATGACAAGAAAGCTGATAAATAGACCAAAAGCGGCAAAAACTGTATACATATTTAATACAATGTAGCTAAACTAAACAACTTTTTCTACTCGTTTAAAGCATTAGTTTTGTAAGCAAATACTTGGTTAGCGTCACACTCTCACAAAGGCGGGAGGGCGTTTTTTTAAAAATTTTTACTTGTTTTTAAAATTTTTTAATCAGTGGCGTGCTGGGTACTAATTTTCTGGGGGGGGGGGGCAGTTGGCTTTCAACTAATATGCGCCCCTATATTGTAATGCTTGATAAACAAGTGTCGAAGGCACGAGCCGAGCGCCGCAGGTGCAAGGTTTCTCTAGGGGGGTCCGGGGGCATGCCCCCTCGGAAATTTTTTAATTTAGGGTCTCTGAAATGCCATTTCCTGGACTTTGGGGGGAAGGTTTGACAGAAATCTGATGGTCAGGAAACGGCATTATAACGTGTTGAAATTTGCAATTTGGTTAGAATTATATATAGTAGTAGTTCTTAAATTGGGCAATGCTAACTCAGTTCCAGCGATTAATCTAATCCCAATTCTATTCTCTACTGATCTGGTGATCTGAATACATTTACAACATACAGCTCTTTTATACAATAACACAAGGACCCCACGCATATGCACTTTAAGGTTACCTTGCTTGGCTGCCAAAAGGGCGCTTTTCAGCATTATCTTATCACTTACATTACTCATGAGTCATGATGTTTCTTGCACAAACAACTAAATTGCGTACACAACTTAAATTATCATAACTATCTAATTTGCGCCGCTCTCGTGATTCGTGAAGCATAATACCTTCATAATATAAGGGCATAATACCAGCAAAAAAGGGCATAATTCCCGTGATCGCTTCGAAACCTGACCAATATTCCTGAAATTATCATAACTATCTAATTTGCGCCGCTCTCGTGATTCGTGAAGCATAATACCTTCATAATATAAGGGCATAATACCAGCAAAAAAGGGCATAATTCCCGTGATCGCTTCGAAACCTGACCAATATTCCGGTAATGAGACATTGTGTGTGATCACTGATCATGTTTCTATATGAACGATTTTGTGTGAGCCGTGAAGTAGCAAATTAGCAAATAAGGTTAGACGAAATAGTCTGTAATTTAATATATCACTTTGTCGTCTATGCGCTTAGTCTCGATCTGTTTATAAGCCTATATAAATATATACTTCTTGACGGAAGTAACTATATTTTTTCAAATGCGTTTTTTCCCACCCACTTACAAAATTCCGCACGGGACGGCGCCCCCTTTTCATTTTTGTGCCCCCCAAGAATTGCCAGCTGGGGGGGGGGGCCGTGGCCCCCCGGCCCCCCCTACCAGCACGCCACTGTTTTTAATAGTATTTTTTTGGGGGGGGGGGGGAGGATGGGGGCGGTTTTTCCACCATATCGTTGATATTTTTTGTACTGATGTTGCGAAGGCCGCCATTTTGATTTATTATTTATTTAATAAAAAATTTCTGGTTTCTGATTGGCTAACAGCCAACTGTGAAATTGTCATATCAACTCAATGGCTAAACAAATATGGATTTTTCCCATTCATATTAGCAAATTGACGTCAAAGAGCGGGCGGTGACGCTAACCAAGTTTGTTTTTTTATTTGGCCTAATGTTGCTTCTAACCACAGAATAAAGATCAGTAACAGAAGGGCCACTCAGCGGTGCAATGCGTCCTCGTTTTTTATGCAAAAATATGCAGTTTACTGGCCAGAAGGTGGAGCAGCCAGCCAGTACAGCATGTTTATTGGCCAGAAAATGTCATTGACTGGCTAGGAAAATGGTGGCCAACATGCGTAATGCGACATGCGCAAGGACAGAAACTTCAAAGCTTCCGACATAAGTTGCCCTTCTGTATAGATCTTTATTCTGTGCTTCTAACTAATATGCATGGCATATTGCAATGAATATAAAAAATTCAAACCGTCTGGCTTTCCAATACACGGTTGCATAGACCAGTGGAGCCGCAGAATTTGTGGCTCCAATATATCTCTGACCTTCTGACAAACTAAATCTATGTCAAAACTAGCTTTCGTCTCTTCAGACCATATTAAAGCACAAATGTGCATTTTTCAAAGTTCTAACACTCATTTGAATATTATGCTGACCAGTTATTCAACATGAAAATGATTTCTTTATATTTGTTTCCTAACTTTCCTTGACTGAAATAATTGCATACCATATTAAATCATCTTCCAAGGACTCCATCTTGACTTGAAACGTTGCCGCCAAATTTGCTGTGATGTTCCCATAAAAATTTGGCGTAATATTCCCATAGAAATTTGCTGTGACACTTCAGGCCGCTTAAAACATTTTGTGCATTGATTTCTCACTCTTTTGCCGTATTTATTAGACCTAACCAGGAGCAGTTGTGAAAATACAGCTATATAATATAGGCCTTCTGGTAGGAATCGAACCTGCGGCTCAGCGATTCCAGTGCAGTGCTCTAACCAACAGCCCTCGAACCATCATTGGTTAGAGCGCTGCGCCAGGAATCGTAGGGCTGCAGGTTCTATTTCTGGCAGAGGGCCTATAGTTGCATTTTTGCAACTGCTCCTGGTTAGGTCCAATAAATGTATAAAACTCACACTTGCAATTCATCTCCACCCTAATACAAATTAGTTATCGAGTGCATATAGATGCCCAAAATCCTAATGTATTATGTAATATATGAACAACGAGAGCGAGTGTTTCACCGGGATATCCAAACACGAGAAAACAATGGCTTCTCAAATGAATCGAGACGTAACAGAATGTTTTCGTTTGCTGATTTGAATAGAATTCTTAACCAAGCATAACGTAATTAGGAATTCTATTCAAGTAATTTTGCATGCGTAATTAAGATATTTGATGAAAACACTAGTGACTTTCATCAAGTATCCAAATAGCATCTTGTGATCAAATAGGTGATTATCATTGGCTGAATTACTCATGAATTATTAATGAATTTGAGAAATATTTATATAAACCACTGTTGACGATCACTGATATAAACGTTCGCAGCAAGCATGTGGATCATTTGTCAAGATGATGTTTCTGTGAAGTTCACCTTCCTACACAGACATGCATATATGCAGGTTGTCTTGAAAAATGGTCTGTCTTTGTGTATAATAATAATAATAATAACACTTTATTTATTGAGGATAAACAGATAAAGTTACAACTTTTTTCCAATCTGGTCCTCCTAAACTCTATAGACACAACAACAATAACATTAAACATGACTATTTTCAGTACTTCCTATAGGAGTATGAACAAATGAAATCATGGGTACAATGTAAAGTATTAATTAACCAGTACTACAATTCAGTTGTTCATACCTCGAGAAAGCCCCAATTTACTAATCAGGCAATTTTCTAACTATGTCTAAATTATATTTACTAAAGTACAGTATAACAAGTCGAAATACGCGTTGACATACAACTCACAAGTGTCTAAAGTGAGATTATAAACATGATCGTGCTCAGCTAAAACTGTAGGCATGAATTTCGGCAGTAATCGCAGGGCCGTGGGTTCAATTCCTACCAGAGGACCTTGTGCTGCATTTTTCGCAGTCGTTCCTGGTTAGGTCTTAAAATGTATATATTCTCACTTGGATTCCAAACCCTAATATTCTAATAACAGAGAAATACACTGTCACTGATACTTATTGGACTATATACTTATATTAAACAATAATATAGTTAATATATACTTAATAAAGCCTTATGCTGTTAAGTTTAGTTGAACTCACGAGTTTCTGAGTAAAGTAACTCTTGCAATATGTGTTGAATGACGGCTGCGATGTTATTTTCTTTGCCTCGTTAGGGAAACTGTTCCATAAGGTGTATGAATACAATCTCAGACAAGCTATTGGAGAACTCAGCTATAATTGCTTGCTTATTGCACTAAGTTACTGAATATGTTTTTACAACAAGATTGGGAGACAAACCACTGGCAATGTATATATTACGAACGCATTATCAAACTCTGAAGTTCTTGATGGTGGACCAAGAGGAGTATAGGACAAAACATTAATTTTGTACGTTTTGGAAGTGCATGAGATTTGGTGTGATACCATATTCTGTTTACGTGTCCAGTTAATTGGTCAACAGAAATTTGAAAAGTATCAAACAGGGATTGTTTCTTCAAAAGTAATCAACTATACTTTGCTACAGCTGAGAAGTGTAGTTCATTTAATGTATAGACAAGTTTGGCTGTATACTAAGTTACCAATGAATTACAATTAACCAGTTTAGATATGAAGTCAACAATTAATGTAGTTTGTAAAGACATGTAATATATCCTGGGAAGCTATGACTGCCCATACCAGGCATTGTCAGTCATTTCACCCTACCGTGATGTTGGTCTAGTGACAACCTTGTCCCCAGGCTCCAGTACGTGCTCCCGCCCACTCACGTTTCTCACGTGTTTCTCCCGAGAGACCTTGACGTGCAGGGGACGAGGCTAGTCTAGTGATTAAAATTTGTGGTTGTCCCCGACTGAATGATATACTAAAATAAGCTGTGATGAATGACTCGTATAATTGTATCAAACAGTCAATGTCAATTTGCAATAAGTCACGACTTACACTACAGTACAGTACCAGGGCTTTCAGAAATTTTCAGAGTAGGTGTCTGTTTTGATAAAGTAGGCGGCCGTTGGGAGGGGACGGGCTAGTTAGTCTTAAAGTCATCCGAATTAATTACGTACATTGATTAGATAGCAACACAACACAAATTATGATGTATCACTACTTTCATTTTTCAACAAGATTTATTATAAGATGGCAAATAACTAAATCAGTTTTACGAAATAGTACGTCGTTTTCGAAAATAACCAGGCTATAAATTAGTATAGACCAAGTTGAGGAAAAATAACTTTGTTTGAATGCTTAGAATGGAGGAAGGAGAGCAGAAGATGTTTCAAGTACTAAACAAAGTAACTGGCGCGGTAAACCTCGTGCCACCCGCCGGGTTATTTTGAAAGCCCTGAGTACAGTACTTGGTTTTTCCGTTTTCCAATTTGAGGAAAACCGAAGAACCGGTTTTGAAAAAACACTGATATTTATCGGTTTATTGACAATATTGATTGGGAAAATTTAGATTGGATATTGCTATAAGTAGGTCATCCTAGCATCCTTAATGTCTGCCCAGTTTTTCTATATTTTTATGATCTAAAATGGAGGTTTATTGTTGATTTAGGTTTGAACTGTGGGACTGAAGAAATGGACCAGTCTCAGAAAAGAAAATATCCAGATAACAATGATAATGATGGTCAGTAATGCTGTACTAATGAATTTACTCAAATAATACAGTGACACCTAAAAGCACTAATTTAAATGCTGCTTAACAGGTGGGAAAATTGTCGTCGCTGACCAAATTTATCGGTGACGCTTTCTTTTTGCCAGCAAAAATTGTGAAAACAATAAAAACACAGATTTCGCTACCCTGTTTCTCGTACTACAGCAGAGGAAAAATAAAAGAAAGCTAGCAGACGTACAGTAAACGTTAATAAACGTTCATAATCAAGACCACAATTACTTGTCGCAATCGGGGAATTAGCAGTCAAGAATTATTCGCTGAAACATGGCCGAAAATGACGTTTCTTGCAAAATGTGTGTAGTTTGATGCAATGATGGCAAATATAACTCGAACAAGAACTTAATATTGATGGAATATTACTTGAAATTTGCAGTATATGCGTTTGTTGTCTAGGACAAAGTTCATCGTCAAATTTCAGTATGTCAGGTAGCCTATTTTGCTAAAATTGCTTGTTTTTCACCTTAATTTTAGACTCATATATACAGGTTGTGCCAATGGCAATGAAATGTGATTAAGTCAGACGATGTGCTTCTTTCTAGTTTTTGCTAATAGAATGTAAACTCGCCTAAAGAAATGAATAAATACTGAATTTTGGCAAATTTCATGTGCAAGTGTGATTTATACGAAAAAGGCGAATCCGGAAATGAGCATCAGAATCAGATTTTTCTGACTATGACTCTCATTTCGAAGCGCAAACTTTTTATTATTTTTAAACGCAATTTTCGCTCGTTCAAAATTCTATAAACACGAATTTTGTCATGTTACAGGTTGTGCCAACGAAATATCGTTGTTTCACATTAAATTTCAAAGCATTTTTAAGCCTTAAAAAATGAAGAAGTGTTAGTACAGTATTCTTGGTTTGAATTTCACATTTTATTGAAGCTATCAGACGACATTTTAAAAGGAAATTTTTTGCTCTGTTTTGTTTTGCGCTGAAATAATCGATATTAATAGTTTACATTCATTGTAAAATATGTGACAATAGAGGAAATCAAAGTATTGCTGCAACATTTTTTGTCAATGAATCCAATTTTTGTGGTGATTTATGGGTCTGAACAGCCGCTGAAAAATTGTCTTTCGAAGGCTTCGTTCATGTTGTTTATGCTTTTTAAACCAATTACCAAGTGGAAGCACGCATATCTTCTTCTCCCGCTGAAAACCCGAGCAGTTTTCGCGCATGCTCGGACAATTTTTCCACCGACACCTGTTATGCTGCTTCTTTTAAAACTTTAGTGGTACCACTACTGGATGGGAGGCTAGGGTGAACCTGTGGGCCTCACAAATACCGACCCACCTTGTTCCATACATTTCATTAACCCATTGAATTGCAGTGCTCTCCTCTTGACGTGTAAAATCGTCTGGCGTTAGTAGGGAGAATTAACCATTAGGGCGCAATGCGACTTACACGTGCATGTTTTGATGTTTATGAATGCACGAGACTGAAACACACGTGATTTTTTCACTTGATATTAAATAACATGTAAAATTAAATAATATATATATATACTTCTAACGTAATAGAACAATAATGGATTATTGAATTTGTACAGTCATACATGTTCAGTAAAATTGTCTGGATCTATTTAAGCTTCAAGACATGCATTTTTATTTGAATGGATGATTCCAGCTTTAGACTAAATTTTGATACAGGCATGCAAGAAGAACAAAATCCATCACCACAGCTAGAAAGAGCATGTTAAAATTAGTAAAATTGTGAATGTTTCGCCGCGAAATATTGTAAAACGTGGAAAATATAACCCAACGTTGCAATTTTACTAATTTTAACATGCTCTTTCTAGCTGTGGTGATGGATTTTGTTCTTCTTGCCTAGTTCAAAATTTGATCCATTGTTGGATTCCCAATTTTATTCACCAATAAAAGGTGGGAGAGTGAAGAAAAAAAGGAAAAGAATTGTCATAAAGGCCGTTTTCTATTACCGTTCCTTTGCCCAAGCAAGGCGATATATATAAGTGTCTTGTGGAAACATAGTTAATAGAATAGATGGTTTGGAAACTCGTTAGAATAACAACATAACTCATCTATGTTAGTCAACGTTTATTCATAAACATGGTCGTTCACCGTCACGTGACTGTGTATTGTGTTCTTGCCAAATCCACCAATAGCAATTTTCAATTTACCCTATTGTTCGAGTTACGGATAGGTAACTTTCCTAAGACATTGCAGATCGAAAGGTTATATGCTAATTTAGTAATTTGTCCACTACATTTTCAACACCCTGCATTTTCAACACCCCGGGACTCCGCACATTCATGCATGCATGTAAACCATGTCCAGCCCCTGCAGTGGCGGATAAATTTCCTATCCGTACCCACTTGGGTAGTTAACCGGCAGATAAAATTGCGTTGCACAAAGCCTGTTTAGTATCGCGTTTAACTATCTGTCAGATAACCTTGACCATATGTGTGTGGCTCCGTGTATAAATAAAGTTATCCTATCCTATCCTACGGGGCTGATGCTTTCGGGGGGGGGGAGTTGAAAGTTTGCCCAAATTTTTATGGAGAATTGTAATGAAATAACCCGATTTTAACGTATTTTCTGATAAATCTGTCTGAATTTTCTTGATTTTTCCTAGCATTTGCCCGAATTTCCATGGTTTTCCAAAATGGGGGCATGCCCCCTGTCTCGTACGCCTTTGACCTAGTTGACTCACCTGAAGGAAACCAGATTTTCCCGAAACTTCTTATCTCTAATAAAACTAGTGAATTCCACTTACCTTTAAACTGTTAACTTGCATACATATATCGTTGTTTATATTTGGAGTTTCTCGTCCACTCGTTGTAGTACTATATCAAACTTTTCGTTTTCACATATATAGTGCTGACTTTCTTATCCTTGCTTTTTTCGATATTTCGATAGGCATAAAGAACAAACACCGAGTTTAATTATAGGCCTTATAAGGAGATGGATCCAGTACCGTGTAAGCAGGAAGCCAAAGTGGTCAAATAATTGTAATAATAATTGTCCCGTTTAAACGCAATAATTAGTACAAATTTTTATCCCGACAAAGACTTGCCAAGGGTCTAATACAGAGGGTCTAATAGTAAGAATGTATTTTTAAATAGGACCAGTACCCATGGACATAGACATGCAGGTTGATGTTGTGGCCCAAGCCAAGTTAGTTAATGGAATAGTCTCTAAAACGTTTGATGAAAAATTAGAAGACGAATACGGCTCAGGTATAATATAGTGTTTACAGTTTCTACCTTATTTTTTCGAATATATTTGATGTTTCTTGTTTGAACTATAGAGCTAGCAACTGTAATATCCGTGACAGTTTTTAGGCACTGCTATTGAACCCGAACTTGTACGGTATACGTATATATGTGCAGCAACACCACCCCTTCTCTCTAAACAGACTAGCTACTAAACGTCCCAAACATTGTTTTCACATTAAGAGATTTTAACTGGCTATATCCAAAATCCAAGGTTTTAACTGGAATATGGGGAACAACTCTTGATAGCCACGCTTCTTGTATTTTTGTATCTATGCGAAACATAGATACATTGCTAGTGATTGCTATCGAGTTGTTCGTGGGTTAAACACGCGTCCGCCTTAAACACATGCCGGCGAACAGGCAGCCTAAATTGAAAACAAAGTGGCGGCTTCTATTCTACATTTAAAATAACATTTTATGTGTACAATTTGTAATAGTACATCGCTATTAACATCTGTTTCACAAACAACAATACAATGAAAATGTACTGTGACAAGGTGAGAGTTTGTTTTCTGTCTAAATGTTTGTGTGATTTAAAAAAAAATGAAATGCTATGTGGGAAATGTTTTCACACGCAAATAAAGTTTTATCTGTTCATATTTACTTCAAAACCCTTACAAAATAAACCCAAAACCTAAACATGTCCGCCATGTGTTTTTCTGTCCCATCGTTCATTGGGGCCCGTACACCACAGGCACCCAAACCGGAAACTCGAGATTAAACACCCTCCCCCTTTCTTAGCTGAAAGGCTAAGAAACATTTAACTGTTTAATTGTCCTTAGAGTGTGCAATATCACTTATTATCTGTCCGATCTTCTCTAACGCCGCTCTTGATTTACTTGGCTCAAATGCATTCGCCTTTGGAGATTCGATGCCTTCGATTGCTGTGACTTAGTTGGTGTACTTGCCAACTCCAACGGGTATAGATGTTGAAGTGATCTTTACTTTCTTCCATTACCAGTTTTAAGTATGGCACCTCGAACAACTCCGTCCTTTCCAGCAATCAATTTCTCAACTACTCCCATTTTCGACAGTCCTCTGTTCTTTTCTTCACCTTGTAGAAGCATAACATCACCAACGTTTATCTCCGACTCCTCACCAGTCAATTATCCATGACGTTCTCGCAACGCCCTTACGTATTCTGAAGACCATCGTTTCCACATTACGTCCTTACACCGTTTTAGATATCTGGCCCGCTTAACCATTGCCTTGGCTTCGTCTTGTTCGTCTGGATCTTCCTCAGGTAGGCTGATGTTAGCACCATGGATCATTCCATTTGGAGTCAAAGGTTGAAGTTCAATATCATTGTCCAAGTATCCTAATGCCAGTAATGGTCGATTATTCAAGGTTATTTCAACTTCTAACTGTATCTCTTTCAGTTGCTTGAAGGTAAGATTTGCATTTCCAATAGCTTTTCTGAACGCGTTCTTCATGAGCCCCACCATTCGCTCGAAAAACCCGCCCCACCATGGACTCCTCGCGAGATTAAACTGCCAAAGGATTTCACGCCGAGCGAGGTAATCGTTCACTTTGCCATGGCGACAAACGTTTTTGCGTTGTCACTAACAATCTTCCCTGGTCGACCTCTTCGGGCTACAAATTCCGTGAGACTTCCTTTTAACTCTTCCGACGTCATATCTGGAAGGAGATCAAGGTGTACAGCTCGAGATGTAGCACAGGTGTACAATGCCACGTAGTATTTCCCTTGAACTTCCTTCTTGATCTTGTATGAAATCGGGCCCGCGAAGTCTAACCCTACTGTTTCAAATGCCCGACTGCCCGTTGTGCGGAATTCTGGTAACGGCGCTTGCGTTGTTGATGGTAGAGGTCTTGCTCTATACCTTACACATGTATTGCATTTGTGTAGCACCGACTTGACCAAGGATCTTAGCTTCTCGATCCACCATTCCTGTCGAATTTTGGCCATCGTTAGCCCTACTCCGCCGTAGAGAGTACGTTCGTGGGCATCAGAAACCACGAGACCCTAGAAGCGATGATTTCTTGGAATGTAGACTGGATGCTCCCCGATTATCCGTCTTTTGCACCATAGTACTCGTTTTTCATCTGCTTCCAAATCCAGCTTTATCCCAGCTAAAAGAAGAATGGACCTTGAAAACCCCTCTCATGAATGCTTATGGTTATGGCTGCGACCCCACCGCCTCCCAAGACACCTAACTGGATTAATCTGCTGTGTCCTATATAACCCGCCTGATACACCAGTCAATGAGCAAAAGGAATTAACGGCCTATCTTATCGATCAGATTGACCGAGTTAGATGTACCCACCCCGACTGCGGTGTTGTCTTACTCGGTGATTTCAACAATTTAGACATCAGCGATCTCCTGTGCCATCACAATTTTACGCAAATAGTGGACACCCCAACGCGTGAAGGTAACATCTTGGATCTAATTGTTACTAATCTAGAAGCCTTGTATTCTAAGCCTGTGATTATAGCACCGCTCGGCTCATCAGATCACAACATTGTTAAATGGTCCGTGAAAACTAACGTTTTAAGAACAGATAATAAAACAATTAAGAAAAACATACGTTCCTTCCCCATGTCGGCACGTGCAGCTTTTGGAAGATGGTGCTGCTCACGTGAGTGGTTCTCTGATGCCGAAAGCAAATACTCTGCGACCGCCCTAGCGTCCTCCTTTACCAACGAGTTAAATTCTGCTGTTGATAGGTTATTCCCGTCTAAGGTTATTAGAATTCATAACTCTGACAAACCATGGATGACGCCTGCATTAAAAAACTGATTTATCAAAGCCAAAAAGCCTTTCATTCTGGTAACCTTGACCTCTGGCGTCACTATAGACTTAAAGTCCGAAACGACATAGGAGTGAAAAAGCGTGCATATTACACGAACAAGGTACAACACCTAAAATCCAGTGACTCCAGAAAATGGTGGGACTGTGTTAACCAGATGTCCGGGGAAAAAAGATCTGCAACCAATAACATTAAGATCGTTAAGAATGGTACCACTCTATCTGGTAAAGATCTCGCCCAATCACTTAACACCTATTTCTTAAGCGTGAGTAATGACCTACCACCACTGAATCCTCTCCTGCTACCTGCCTTTCTCCCTGCACCTAGGCCTGTACCAAAAATTTTCCCTGACGAAGTTTGCACTAAGATGCTCAATACAAAAGTTTTCAAATCCAGCGGTCCTGACAATATTCCTAACCGGATTATTAAGGATTTCGCGTACGAATTGGCCGAACCTGTATGTCACATCTTTAATACATCTCTGTCCACTGGTGAATTCCCTAACATATGGAAAGATGCGTTAATTACACCAATTACTAAAGCGCCATCCGTATCCTGTGAGGAGGAGTTGCGCCCAATCTCCCTTACAACCTCTTTGTCCAAAATTCTTGAGGACTTTGTGGTCAATTGGATGGTGGATGACGTGAAACATAAAATCAACCCGCAACAATTTGGTTGCCTTAAAGGAACCTCTACAACGTTTTGCTTGATCGATATGATCAACAATTGGCTAAGAACATTGGATGATAAATCTAGCTATCTGCGGATCGTTTTCCTCGATTTTAGTAAAGCGTTCGACCGCATCGACCATAATATCCTAGTCCCAAAGTTGCTGGCCCTTGGCGTCAGATTGTCGCTTATTCCATGGATATGCAGCTTTCTCTCAAATCGCCGTCAATCGGTAAAGATCGACAATTTCCAATCTGATTGGGGCATTAATAACGCAGGTGTCCCTCAAGGAACTAAATTGGGCCCTATTTTGTTCATAATTATGATCAACGATCTTGAACTGGCATCCTCTAGCACTGACCATTGGAAATACGTGGATGACATAACAATATCGGAGTCCTTAAAGAAAAATGAAGTTTCAGTCCTACAATCTGATCTTAACACAATTGAAAGATGGACTGTTAATAACAACATGAAATTGAACGGAAAGAAATGCAAAGAAATGATAGTGAGTTTCGTCCGTAGCGAGAATGACATCCCCCGACTCCTCATTGATGGTTTACCTCTAGACTTAGTTTCTTCTTTCAAAATTTTGGGCTTAACCATGAACAATAAATTGAAATGGCAAGATAACACTGAAGCGTTAGTTAAAAAAGCCTCAAAACGCTTATACATTATTCGTGTCCTACAGCGCTGTGGTCTTCCCCCCAATGACCTCTTATTAGTCTACTTTTCTATGGTGCGCCCTATCTTAGAATATGCCTGTCCTGTCTGGCACACCATGTTACCAAAGTGTTTGGGGGATAAAATTGAAAAAGTTCAAAAAAGAGCTTTCCGTATTATTTATCCGACAACAGATTACGAAGATGCTCTCAACATCGCTAAATGCAAGCGCCTTGTCGACAGACGTCAAGAGCTATGTGCTAAAACTTTCAAAAAGATCTTAAAACCCCATGCTCACCTCAACCACCTCTTACCCCCACTCCGTGAAGAATCGCATGAACTGGACTTAAGAAACAATTCTAACTTCACATTAACTAGATGCAGAACGGAACGTTTTAAAACTAGTTTTATACCAGCAATGACTGCTAATTTTAATAGTAAATAATTTGTAGTATTTTAACAACTGTACATATATACGATATATCTATATTTATATTATTTGATATTCATCCTTTATTATGTTTCTGTAAGCATATTGCAATTCACCTTCGGGTGCCAAAATGTGTTTCTTAATAAACCTTTAATAATAAAAAAAAGATGCAATGGCTGAATGGTTTTCTTCTTTGGTCGCCTGAACGACTTTTATCCAGAAAGTTTCAGCATGATTAATCTCATTGGTAGTCAGAACGCCTTTCGTTTTTCCCCGCTTCGTTGTGTTAGACACGAATCTGAAAATCCATGTAACAATACGCAAAACCTTCCAGAGGTTCCATTTCACAAGAAGATCGTTCAAACTGTTTTCTTTCATAACAATTGTGTGTAATTTCTGTACGGTTATTCTATGTTCTTCGCTAACCTCCTTGGTTTTCTTTAGAGTTATATCGGTTGGCCACTTGTTCTCGTCAGCTAACCATGTCGGTCCTGTTCACCACGTAGAATGTCTCAGCTGTTGGATATTTGCGCCTCGGCTATCGACCTGCAGGATTTTGGGTGGTTGGACAATGTTTCCAGATTAACTCTTTCTGTTGTATAAAAGCAACTCGGTTGGACACGAACTGTTTCCATTCACCGTCTTTATTCTTAATCCAATAGAGAGTCACTGTGCTACCCAGCTAAAGCTCTGCGAACGTTATCAATTAAATTTGCTACTATATGTCCTGCGGTGAGTTCCAGTCTTGGAATGCTGACATTTGGTTTCTCTATTCTTGATTTGGATGCAACCAATCCTTGGGTTGTCTTCTCCCTCTGATGAACTACTGCATAAACTGCTGCACTGCACCCCTTCACGCTTGCATCTCCGAACCCATGCAAATTTATCCCGGTTATCTCCTCCTTATGAGGGGTTATGCTTCTTGGAACGCTTACTTCTCTAGGAAGACCATCTCGCCATTTCCATGATTCTGCTATCTCCTTTCGCAGAGGAATGTCCCACGAGTGTTTCTCTTCGCACGTTTTCCGCTAAATCTCCTTCGCATCCAGCATCAACGGCGAGGTTACCCCTAGTGGGTCGTAGACTCTGGCTATTGACTGTAACATTCCACGTTTCGTACCCTCTCCAGTCTGCTTGCACCCACGAAAGTCAACTGCTAAAGTTAGCCCCACTTCAAGAATGGGCTTGATACACTTCCGAATGGAACTCTCGTCTGTCGAAGTGTAACAAGTTCCTTCGTATCTAAATCTTTAATCCAGAAGAATCACAGTACGTCTCGGTGTTCTGGGTCCACCCAGATCTGATGGAATGCTTGCTTAATGTCTGCTGTCAGTCCGATTGGTTTCAACCGATTTCTAACAAGCACATTGTGAAGTAATGGCTGTAGTGATGGTCCCTTATGGAGGCATTCATTGAACGATGGTACATTTGAACTCTCTTTCGCCGATGCATCAAAACCGATCCGAACTCTAGTGGTCTCAGCTGATTCTTTAATAACTGGTTTATGTGGCAGATAAAACTTTCTCTCCCCTGTAGGTTGTTCAGGAGCCTGCTCTACAATTCCTTGCTTCATCTGCTCTTCTATTATGCCATGGTACTGCGCCATAACTTCGGGTTTCCTCTCAAGTTTTTTTATCAATCCTTCTAACCTCGCCTTGCTTGGTAGTTCATTGGTTGGTAGAGGTGGATGCCCAGCTTTCCAAGGAAGTCGTGTAGAGTACCTACCATCTGGAAGTTGTGTGAGTTGCTCGTTAAATTCGGTGAGGACAGCATCTGGATCACCTACAGGACCATCCTGTAACCCAAGTACATCCAGGCTGAAGAGCTGTTTATAGTCGTCTTGAGATGTTCTGGTAAAATAGAGATGACTCGAGTCCTCCTCCCTCTGTCCCATGAGTGTCCACCCAAATGTAGTCTTTTCAGCCACCGGTTCGGTCATACCACAGAGAAGATCTACACAGAGAAGAAACTCGCGGGAAATATGTCACGCCGATATATTAAGTCTATTAACTATATAAAATTATATTAATTCACTATTTTATTAAATTTTGATAATGCAGAGGAATAAAACTATACATATTATAGAAGTATTCATGTTTTTTTTTTATGCAAGAGTTATGTTTTGAGGAATTTATATCATTCGCTGCTTTGTTATTTATACATGAGCGTCTGAAATTCCTAGCCAGTGCATTTCACGATTTTAATAAGGAGTACTGTAGATAGGGAAAAAACAAACTTTTGCAAAATAAAATGTTATGTTAACACTTAAACGATGTCAAAAGTGATCGCTTACCGTTATTCTACAATAATTTATTGAACAAAATTTCCATGTGTATCTCATTTTTTTAAAAAAAGCGATTTTCACCTTTCGAACGACGTTTTCCCTATCTTTTGCTATGAAATTTCAGCGACGGCACTGGCTGGGAAATTTTGCGTGGCGCGTGGAACGCGTGACACAGAAATTGAGGTTATCCAGTTTCCTCTCAGTATATCTCTCCTCTGTGGTCAATTCTACACTCACTAGTCTTGATTCTCGCAATGTCCCCCGCTCCCAGGATGAAGTGTATTGGGTGACTAGGTCGGTCGTCTTCATTGTCGAATTAGCCTTCTCACGATGACGAATATCCGCCATTTTTGGGTGGCATTCAATTCTCGTTAACCAATGCAGACAACTAAAACAATGTGAAAAGCAATTTTTCAAAATAAACTAACCATTTACAAAGCAAATTTACCATCATTTGTCAAAACATTTATAAAAAGTCGCTGTTATGTGGACTTCGGCTGAAATGCCACCCAAAAATGGCGGCGGGAGAATGGCTAATTGGATTCTCTTCAGATGGGGATGTGCTTCCTTTAACCTATGGAATCATGGATACCGGGGTTGGTAAGGGTTGTCAAAACTGTCCGGTCTAACTTATTCGCTTTGAAATCTAAACTCTGGTCGAGAATGCCAAAAGTGGAGGGTGAGAAAAGCTCTAGAAGTACAAGACAATGCATGCCAAAGATGAGGACTTTCTAGAGGGTACAGGGCATGCTCCCATGAAATTTTAAGTTAGGGTATTTATCATTTTGTTGATCATACTGTAACGTTCTGATTTATAATCCTATAACTTTTGGTAATTAATGTTAGTTAATTGTGGTTATTAGTTAATTGTGGTTGAAGAATAAATTTGTATCAAGTGTGTCACGAGAGCTAGGGGGATTCCCCAAATACAATGCACTGAAATTTAATGCAAAGATCCAACCCCAAATATACCCCCAGAATTGACCAGTTACTACGAGTTCACTGGTCACTACTCAACCTATCCACCAGTCAGGTGCTTTACCGATCTATTAAGTGATGAAGATGAAGCACTTATCCATTAACTTTTCAATCCCCATGTTCCACAGGAACTAAGGGACCAGTCATTATTTATACCAGGGGTTGGGGCCGAAGAGAAATTATTTTAACCGCAAAAAAATAATTCAACCAACCAACCAACCAATACCCGGAATTTTGGAATACACCCAAAAATGCAATTTACTGCAGATAATGTACACATATACGTACCGATTTTTCATTACTCATTTTTTATTGACCATTGTCATTGTTTTAAAGAACCTTGTTCACATCTGATCAAAACAAAACGGTGAAACTGTTCATGTAACTAAAAATGTAAGCCAATTTCGGTTTTCGTACACACCCAGGACGAAGAAGGCAAATACGTTCTCATACAGACCAGGCAAATGAAGTAATTAATAAGGAATTTATTATATGCTTACCATTTCCTGACAGCAAAATGACTTACCTGTGTGATGAACTCTGAACAGTAATAGCTATATTTAGAGACACGCGCAACATTACCATATATGGTATAATGACTTTGTTATTGTGAGAAGGTTGAGAGACAATAGACAAGGTTAGGAGACAATTGACAGGGTTTGAGACAAGTGAATTCATATATTTCGTATTGTTTTTTGTGTATAATAAGTATTTAGAGTGAGGATTTATATACGAGGACAACTTCGGTATATAGTGGTGCCGTGACCAGGATGTAAACAAGGGAAACAAGTGATATTTTACGGGGAATTTCAACAAATTTACAACTATATTTACGACGATAAGCGAGAGTTAAAATGAGCGACCCAGAAGAACAAGCGAGCGAGCAACCAATTGAGAATAAAATCAACAAGGAAATAGAAAAGTTAAAGTATTATTTGGAACAAACCGACGAGCTTATCGAAGAGCAAGATCTGAGGGAAATCGAAACAGTAAACAAGCGTACAAAGGCGATTTTGGATGAAATATATAGCCTTGTTTCGACCGCTCAAGAGACGAAAGTTGAGCTGGGAAAAAGTACATCACGGGAAATTCGACAATGGAAGAAAGAGGTAAGAGATAGATATATGCCATGGGTAAATGAAATGAACAAATTTCTGGATAAACGACAAGCAAATATTGCCGCTGAAGAGGAAAATAAGCGACGAGACGCGAAACGTATCGAAGAAGAGCATAACAGGGAAGTAATTCGAGACCAAAACAGGCAAGTGCTCGAAGAAAAATTACAAGCAGAGCTTAGAATGACGGAGAAAAAGCTAGAAATGGAAAAAGCTGCAAGATCAACTCTAGCTAAACTTCCTAAATTGAAAATAACACAATTTAATGGAACAACAGCAGACTGGGTAAGGTTTGAGAACATGTTTATTACACAGGTCGATTCTAAGCCAATTAGTGATGAGGAAAAGTTTGGCTATTTACTTGAAGTGGTGAGTGGAAAAGTCAGGGATAAGATCTCAAACCGAGCTCGATTGGATATAAAACGGCTTGGGAACGACTCAAAAAGGAATACGGCCAAACAAAGTTGGTTGTGAATGCACATATTGATGAAGTAGTAAATTTACCCACAGTACGAGGGTCCTCCTATGAAAAGATCTTGGCTTTCTACGAACATTTGAGCAAGAACTATGACGCCCTACAGACTCTCGGTGAACATGAGAAATTAGATGGATTTGTGATGTGTACTATTAATAAGTTGCCAAATGTGAAGTCAGACTTGGTAAGGACTGATGAAGATTGGGAAGAATGGAAAATGGAGAACTTAGTTGATAGTCTGCAAAAATTATTACGAAGAAAGAAAACTGAAGAAGATAAATCCACAGTGACCCAAGAAGAAGAGAGAAAAACTTGTTTGCACGTAATGGAGGTAAAGAGAACGAAAGAGGAAAAAAGACACCTTGTTGCATGTTCTGTAAAGCTGAACACTGGAGTGATATGTGCAAGTCTTATGTAACCACAGCTCAAAGAAAGGCTTACTTCGGTGAGAACAATTTATGCTTCAATTGCGGTAGCCCGGGGCATAGGGCTAGACATTGTAGGAGTCGTGGGTGCTATCACTGTGGGGAGAAACATCATACCAGTCTACATGATCAGAAAGAGAACGACGGTGATGGTACAGTACTAACAGGCTACTCAACAACAACAGACGAGATTACATTACCCCCATAATCCCAGTTAAGGTGGATGGAGAAGTTTTCTGGGCATTTTTGGACACAGGATCGGGCAGGAATTTTATTTCAAAAGAAGCAGTAAAGAAACTTCAAGTTTCTGCAGCACGACATGAATCGAAAGAAACCATCACCATTAATGGAACAAAAAGACAGTCCATGCCTATTTACAATGTAACTATTGAATCATTAGATGGATCAACCAAGGAAGATATAGAGCTAGCCGGGTCGACAATGAAAGATTTCACAACAGTGAAAAGACCGGACATGAACAAACTTAAATGGAATTATGAACACACAAAGGATAAGAGGTTTTCATGACAAGAGATGGTGAATATCCAATACACATGATCTTAGGTGACAACACCTTCTGCAAGATTAAGACAGAGGAAATCTACAAAGGAAAAGATGACGATCCTATCGTTGAAGGTACTTCGTTTGGTTGGATTGTTCATGGTGGAGATATTTCGAACAATGTGTGTATGTTTACAAGAGAACCAAATGACTACGAGCAATTTTATACACTGGATGTAGTTGGAATTGAAGGTAGAGGGGAGAACGACCAACTGGACGTTTATCATGAATTTAAAGAAAACATTACTCGGGCTGATGACGGTAGATATCAAGTCAAAGTACCATCGATTCCAGGACAGTCTTTACCAAATAGCAATCTAGAACCAAGTGGAAAGCGATTAGCTAACGTATGCAAAAAGATCGAGCGAGATGAGAAGGTAAACAACAATTATGATGAAACAATCGAGAAGCAATTAGAATCGGGTATCATTGAAGGTGCACCAGTGAAACCGAATGGTGAACGAGTATATCATATACCCCACAAACATGTTGTCAGAGAGGAGGCAAATAAAGCCAAAGATAGCGCGGAGATTCCCGAGAATTTTAGAAATTTTGGACTGGTCGGTGATAGTTCGGAAAATCCATGGTTTTTGAACGATGGAAGAGTAAGAGAAGACATGAATGAGGAGCTGAGGAACATGAAAATACACCAGAACGGTTGAGAAAACTGAAGGCAGTAACTGCGGAAGAAACAAAGGAAGGACAAGGTGATGAAGACGAAAATGCTTCCGATAATTCTGACCAAGATGAAACATTTGAATTGATGGATGATGAGGGGAGCAAAGAGAAAAGAAAGAAATTGAAAGGAGATAAGGTTGACAACATCATCAGGGAAAAACGCATAAAAAAGAAAAGGAAAATCAAAGGAAAGAAGAAAAAAGTTCTTTCGAAAGGACATACTGAGGAAGTAAATGATGTTGAGAGGAAAAGAGAAGAAAACGAAGTAGAGAACCTTGAGGAAAATGGCATAAAAACGAAAGGGAAAGTGAAAAGTAATGTTGTTTCACAGGGAAACACTAAAGAAACTAGTAGTGTTGAAAAGACAAGTGAACGTAAGAAAAAGAAAAGAAGAATTACAGACGAAAGTAGAATGAAAGAAACGTGTTGGAGAAAAGCAAGAAAGCAAAGTTGGTGAAGAGTGGGACTGACGAGGACAATATGCAAACCGGAGATTTGGACGAAAAGAACCGAGAACGGTGGATGAAAGGCAAAGTTGTGAAGTACGTGAAAGGAAAGGACGGTGTAATTAGAGGAGTTATTGTATTACATAAAGGTAACTATTTGAAACGACCTGTTCAGCTAGTATGTCCTTTGGAGATAAGGAGCGTGGTTAAGGAAGATCAAGGAAGAGACAATGAAAGTACTGAAGACAATGATGATAAATTAAAGAAAAGACCAGAACCCCTTTAATCGTCCTTCAACTGTTCTCTGATGTTAACTTTCGCGATCTTTGCTGCTTTCTGCAAGATATTTAATATCTTCGGTTCAGTGCATGCTATGAAGACAGAAATACCACCATTCGATTCAGAAAGAAAAGATTCAACTAATTCCTCCCTATAGTTATAGTCATTATCAACATTGTAGCGATTTATGGGCCTTTGAAGTCAAACACGATCATATTGTATCAAATTACGCAATTGTCTGAACAAAAATATAGACTAGCCATACCTTTTGCCGAAAATAACTTCGGCCCCTTCGAACATATCGTCTTTGTAATAGTCTTGTTAAAATCCCCATTAAAAACACTACTTAGAGTGTTATTTGCAAGCCTGTATCTTCAAATCTGTATCTTTTATCAATATATTTTTATTTCTTGCCCGACTGTGAGCTCGAAGTGAGTTAATCCCAACCGGAAATACGACTGAAAATCGTCAAAACAATGCGAAGCTTGTATTGAATGACCCTGCAAAGGCCAGAAATGGATTCGCAAGGTCAAATTGCACCTACACGCGTGAGTTTGACGTCATACCGGCCAACAGGAGCTTCTTATTGGCCAATTATTGCGCAATGTTCGCAAGTGCGAGTAAAACCCGATATCTTGAAAAATTCAAAATAAATATTTCTAGTCGGCGTATACATACGAAACTTTCTACACAAAAGCGCTTGAATACAAAGAGTATTTTACACATATAGCCGTTCAGCAAATGACGAAATGTTCAAAGAGATATTCAAGATCTTGTGTATATGAAATTTAGAATCTTTGGCCAAGCGGTGAGTAAATATATGATTGTTTCGGTTTGTGTAATGTTCAGACGGCACTTGACCCCCCGTTTGAAAGGTTATTTTGTGAGGATTACAATGGTGGTATTTATTTATAAGGGGGGTAAATACTCGCCGAGATATTTATATTAGAAAAATTGTGTCGTAATATGATGCGAGAGGGGGTTAAATTTGTTAGGGGAGTGTGTGATGAACTGTGAACAGTAATAGCTATATTTAGAGACACGCGCAACATTACCATATATGGTATAATGACTTTGTTATTGTTCAAGACAATAGACAAGGTTAAGAGACAATAGACAAGCTTAAGAGACAATTGACAGGGTTTGAGACAAGTTAATTCATATATTTCGTATTGTTTTTTGTGTATAATAAATATTTAGAGTGAGGATTTATATACGAGGACAACTTCGGTATAATATATATATATATATATATATATATATATATATATATATATATATATATATATATATATATATATATATATATATATATATATATAAATTAAGGTACAACAAATCAACAAAATCCACTAGGCATCTTTATTACTAAATAGTTTCGTACCACAGTATGTGGCACTCTTCAGATAAACTGACCTAATGACTATAGACTAAAACTTACAAGGTTATATGTACAAGTGGATGAGACATGAAACTTAATTTTACTTTAAATATGCTCTGGTTTTCCATTGAGCACTTTGCCAAAAGTTTTTATAACCAACAAAACCAAATTTTATATATATATATATATATATATATATATATATATATATATATATATATATATATATATACTTAAAATTTTATTAATCGCTACACAGTGTTTCACGCTTTCAAAGCGATCTTCAGGCGACACTACTCTAAATAGTTTGCTTGCGCAATTAATTCAACGGCCATCCGCTGACGAGATTGCATCATGCGCGCGTGCGTTTAAAATTCCGCGCGCTAAATGAGTTTCTGGGGCGGCATTTTGAAAATAGTTCTGTTCGTTTGTTCAACGTTCTATCTTTGTGCGATTTCATTACATAAAACCTCTCCTCTAAGCAAAGGTTGCAAGAATTTGCACCTGCCGTATAGGCTGATGCATGCGACAAAACCGACCACTTTATAGTATACGGTCGGTTACTTTGTTTTAGCTTCCATGTGTACTTAGACAGTTCAGTTTCGTTTGAATACGAGGTGAGTTGATGGATTGCTTGTGGTTGGCGTATATCTTGCTTTAAACGTCCCTGCTGTTTTACCAATATACTCTTTCGTTTTACCGACGTCTGTTGTTGTAATCTCAGCCTTATAGACGATGCTTTTCGTAAGACAATTACCATCAAGCGGGCATTCAACTTTGGTGTTCACCAGATGGTAAACAGTACAAAGTGAACCATAGGTTGAATTGCGACTCGAAATGTGTGGTTTATCTTCTTACTTGTAAAGTCTGTAAAAAACAATATGTTGGCGAAACAACAGATAAATTTAGGTACCGTTGGAATAATTATAAAGCCTGCCACAAAAAGGCAGTTAATAACGAGGCCTATACACAAATGTTTTTCCATCAACATTTCTTGGGTAATGGACATAATGGATTGATAAGTGATTGCGAGATTGTTTTAATTGATAAAACTGACCCAGCGGAACCGACCAGACGTGAGGCATTTTGGATAAGCAAACTAAAGACAATGCATCCTTCGGGATTGAACATAGAGAATGCGTAGCAATGTTAATTATAGTTAACAGGATATTGTTATTTGTATGGTAAATCACTTATATTCATATTATGCATAATTAGCAAAATTGGGAGGGTATAAATTGGGTTCGCCTGTAAAGTAGGATTATATTTGATGAAGACAATAAAGTCGAAACGTTATGTGTTGAGTTGATTAATTAACTTAATATAATATTACACACATATTAAAGCTTAGATAAAAATATTTACAAACAAGTATACGTATAGTACTGAAATCATGTACCGTCAAGAATACATTTAAATTTGTTTAAGCCAATGCCTTTTTCTTTAGCTGCAGTGGGCAAGCTGTTCCAAAGTGATGCAGCAGAGTAACTAAAGCTCTTTTTCATAAAGTTTGTTTCCGGCTTTTCAAGTGTATAGTTGTTGTCATTACTTCGCAAGTTATACCTATCATTATTTGCAATTTTGAACATGTTTGTTAAAGACGATGGCGGTGCGTCATTTCTTAGTTTATGCAACAAGCTCGTCTTATTGTTTTTGTATCGATTTTTAAGGGGTTGCCAGTTTAACTCTTTTAAAACGTTCTCAGAACTTACATCGTATGTGCTACCAGTGATAATTTGCGCTGCTCTATTTTGTAATTTTTGAAGTTTATCAATTAGATATTCACAACAGTTGCCCCATACCAAGCTACAATAATCAAAGTGTGACAACACAATGGCATTATAGCCTTTCAATAATGTTGATTTGGGAACAAACTGTTTCATTCTTTGCATCATCCCTATTCCTTTTGAAACTTTCGTTACAGTATTTTGAATTTGGTCGACCCATGAAAGACGCTCGTCAATAATGACTCCTAAAGTTTTTGATTTATGAACACGTTTAATTTCTGACTCACCGAGTTCAATTTTAGGATCCCCTATTTTATTTGATATACGTTGTCGTAAGCCGATAATCATATATTCAGTTTTTTGTTTGTTGAGTGTAAGTTTGTTTGCAAGTAGCCATTGATGCACATTTTCTAAGTCTGCGTTTAAGCGTTCTTTTATTTCATTGCCAGTATCACCGTGAGTTGAAATGTTTGTGTCATCAGCAAACATGCTTGCTGAAGACAGACTCAGACAATTTGGTAGGTCATTTATATAAAGCAAGAACAGCAGTGGGCCTAGGTTTGAACCTTGAGGTATGCCACATTTAACAGTCCTTGCCTC